TTTCCCCCCCCCCCCCGTCATTAATTATTATGTTAGTAAGACTCTCATACTGATTTAGGCTATTCTGTAATTTCAGTCAAGTCTTTACATTGCACAAACCCTATATGGTTGTGTACAACCATTAATCTCTTGATCTAACAATGTCTAAATTGAATCTATAAACTCTGCTACATATTTACTCTCTAGTTATCTCTGTCATAGATATATGTTTTATTTAAGACAGATCTTTTAGCAATGCATTGGTACAACTAGACTTTCAGTAATGGTGATTATAATAATGAAAATGACTTGAGTCCTGCACTACACTGCTAAGATGTGACGGCTTGCAAAAGCTAAAATTAAACGCTTCAACTGCAGAGGTACTGAGTTACAAAATGGATCACGTGTAGCAAACATTTGACTGACATTTTTACCTCTTATGCAAGTGTAACCAAACAGTCACCACAAGTCAATATATCACTCGTCAAATCTCAACACCAGGTCACTTAACATGTGATGGACTTTTACACACACAGAAGCCGGTGATAAGAGAACAAAAGTCATCATATTGTGCATTAAAATGACACACTACTCTGAGTGCATTCAGGAAAGATACAGTACAATCTATATCCACAGAGTGTCTAGTTTCTGTTTACAACGCTGTGCATTGACATTTATACACTGTAATGGCTGGCTTGTAGGACGTTGTACTGTAACTTTGATAAATAGGGGGTCGATTCTAATGGGCAGCTTCTATGTAACCCTACAGGCTTCAGTGTAGTCAGGAAGCCTCAGCTGATGGGATGAAAATGTTCACATTTATACACAATTGCACTCCAAATAAATATATCTATTATCAATATGCATAATAAGACATTTACAGACTGCCAATTTGATATGAGTTACACCTCTATTAATCGAATATCTTTAAATTTTTTATACATTTTAGTAATAGTTACATTAAGTTGACACTTTTTTAGATTTATTTTTAGGATTTGTGCAAACAATACAACAATGGATTGTACTTTTTCTTGTTTCTCATTTGTTGTTTGATATTTTTTATGACTAAACTGATGCACACTCAGGAAAATAAGTCTACTCATGTATCTGTGATGTGTGTTTGGTCTAGGAGTATCCCTCATCCTGCCTGTATCCATAGCCTGCTCCCTGTGCTTCTTCCTGGACGTACTCCTCCGTCTTCTCCCAGCCTGTAGCCCAGCCACCGTTCACCTGTGTGGTTGCACCATAAGACTTAGCTGGACCTCCTAAGGCACCGTAATTTTGAGTGATGTCGCCCGTCTCCTCTGCCAACTCATCCTCGTCAATGAAGCCACACTTCTCCTCGCTGGTCAGTTCTGGGTCGGCCCATGGCTGTTTTTCTCCCGATGCAAAGATCCCATAGAAGATCACACCTCCATAATGCACCATGGAGGCGATCAGGAACACAGACTGCCACTCCTCTCGAGTCTGAAGAGGAAGAAAGAGGGAAGGAAAACAAAAAGTAGTTTTTAACCCCTTAAAGGAAATGTCAGGACATTTTTCTTACTGTCTTAACACCTAAAACTAATGAAGAATATGAATGAATGAACAATAATTAGATCCTAACTAACAAGACATTGTTGTCCAAAAACTTTTAAACACAAAATGAGTTATGTGTTTCTTTAATACCATGAACATAGTTTTATTCACTAGTGGGTGAAATTCGGCGCTGGAAGTACCGGTATTGCATGATTTATAATACATACTATGTTATGTATGTAAGTAGCCAGTTGTTTTGAGAAATTGTTCAGTTTTAAAAATAAATAACATTATCTATGTAATTGTGACCCTGTGCAGCCTTAATTCAGAATTTTGCATTTATTAAATGTTTACTGCTTATAAATGTCAATTAGGGGGACTTAAAATGTCGCCATGGTCTCCTTTAAGACTCATGAAATGAGAGGATCTTTGTTAATGTAATGTTTGGTGCCCAGAGAACAAAGCTCTTACCTTGTTCTTTGTCATAGTACCAACAATCAGTGGGCACACCATCCCAGACAGGGTACCCACACCATTAGAGATGCCCATTAGGATACTGGCATAGCGTGGAGCAATATCCAGGTGATTGACATTAAAGCCTGATGGAGAGAAAAACATACAAATATTAATTAAAATTAATAACATTTTAAGGCAAAGTAGCCAGACTTAAATGCCACATGGAGGGACACTGTGACAGTATGAAGTAATAAAAGCCACAGAAGCAGGACACAGCTGTAGATAAAAGCTGCACAAATGGTGACCATCTTGTTGCAGACATAGGAAGCAACTCGCCACACATCCTCCTCCTCCCCCACTCTGACTGGCTGAATGAGTAAGTGTCCTCGCGAGCTGTCTGCCTGGCAAATCCCCCAGGATAGCTAGCACTGAATTATTAAACACTCTAGGAAAGCTCAAGAACAACTGGCAAGAAGCTGATTTTGTACACAGTAAGAGACCTCTGCATCCTCTGTAACTAAACATAAACAAAAAAGAAACTGTTGAATGAATGGCTGAAGAAAGATGAATGAATGTTTTATTTTGCCAAACATGTTACAAATAATATCTGAAATCTGAGTCTTTCACTATGCGATATTGATATTGATCATGCTCAGTGTTGGTATTTACATCATGCATCTGCAACAACAAATAACAGCAAACATACCACTGCTGGGAGGTTTGTAACTGTATGTACTGCATGTCATTTTAAACACATTTCAACAATGTTTCTTATAATATTTTATAATCTCAGCACTCACAACTGCATGTCAAAGTCTCAGAAAATTACAGAAAAGAGTAAGGGAAGTACAGAAAATACAAACCTAGACTATTCAATCTTACCATCAGAGGAAATCTAGTTTATATATAATGTTTTCCTTTCTTTCACAAACTTGTACAGAAACACAAATAATTTGGAAAGAGGTGGTCAAATAAAGAAGAAATTAAAATCTAATATATCTAGTGAGCGTAGAAAACTTCATTACTATTACCCCTTTAGCTAAATTATATTAAAAGGGATGGAAAGAAATCTCTCAATTTCAGTTAAACTTGCTTAAATTTACTGCAGGTTTACACTGGAAGTACGAGCTGCTATCAACCACTAAATGAAACGAATAGTTTGACATTTTGGAAATGCACTTGTTCTCTTTCTTGCCAAGAGTTAGATGAGAAGATCAATACCACTCTCATATCTGTAAGGTGAATATGAACCTACTGCCAGGAGACGATTAGCTTAGCTTAGCATTAAGACTGGGAACAGAGGGAAACGGCTAGCATGGCTCTGTCATCATGGAAGTCAATACATAACGCCCCATAAAACCACAGCTGGTTGTTTTAACACTTTGTTTTTGTATCAATTAAACAATCAGGACATACCATGTTAATTAGTGATATTTAGAGGTAGGGACATTTAGTCTCTCACAAAACACTCTCCTGGCTGTAGCTTCATATTTAGCCACGTATGAAATGGTAATAATTGATCCTCTAATCTAACACTCAGCAAGAAAGCAAATAAATGTGTTTTACAAACATGACCAATTCTTTCATTGTTCATTTTCTTCGAAGTACTGGTTAAAAAACAGTTGTTGTGGTTTTCTTCATATTCACACATTTATCCCGTTAAAATATGGTTAATTATCCTCCTCTACACTCCCCAAATCCCTTGGAATTCCACTGAAAACTACAAAGCCACACTACAATAAATCCGGCAAAACTATTTTCCCACAGTGATCACATCATTTTAAATACAGTATATTATATCTTAAATTATTTTATTTGTACTAACCTGATATAGCAAATCCACTGAAGCCCACTGCCAGCACCAGGAAGGAGATGGCCATCCCTTTGCTGTGGGAATATCCTACCACCAGCAGCAATGTGGCCTCCATGCCAAATCCTAACAGAGACAGACAGCAGGTCACACACACACACACACACAGAAACACACAAAGCCCACGGCCTGTTGGTCATCGCAGTACCCAATTGAATTAAGCATGATACGCGGCCTGCACTCAATTACATAAGTGACAGATATGAAATCAATGCACAGTCACAATCAGTGAGTCGACTTGTGTATAAGTATTGAACAGATAGATTTTTACAAAAACATAAACACAACCAGCTCCTAAACCCATCTGGCAGCGAAGAGCAACCGAAAAGTGAGCAGTATGGATCTATCACAGTGAAAGTAACACCCTGTAGCTGTGCAGAGAGAGGTGTGGAAAATGATATTTCATCCGCGGTTCAGACTTCTCACCTCCACAGTTCATGATTTTCCTGACAGTGGTAGTTGTCATGATGTTGTTGCTGCGTAGGTAGTCCGCCAGCTGGCCGCCAATGGGCACAATGATGGTCATCACCAAATGGGGCAAGGCAGACAGCATGCCAACCTACAACCACAGACAGAAAATCAAGCAATCAGCTGCACTATGAGATGGTAACATAGCAGACTCGTTATTCCTTTTTTATGAAATACTGTGAGTATAATCACTGACAAATACAGTGTCCCCTCCACTGCTCATTTTTGCATCTATAAAATGTGGCACATGCCTTTTTCACATTCTTTTTGGTTGCATTGTGTTTTTAAAGTGCATTATAGTTGAGTTTTCTCTCTTAATCTCTTAATGAATAATAACTAAAGTTGTTTTTCTTGAACTTCAACTTGGATCGTTGCTTATTTAGTCATGAATATTTAATATCATACATACTGAAGATATAAAACCGAGTTTCTATTGGCTTTAAGATATTGCATACAATATTAAAATTGCAATTTGATGAATTGTTAGGATAAGGTTACAACCAATGGTACAGTAAGAATTATAATTGCATTTATTCAATTTTTTTCCCCATATGAATCACATATTCTATGATTATTTGTTCTACATGCAACCAACACCACTTGACTGAAAAACAAAACAAAATATAAGTGTCATAAAATTTGTGACGGCAGTCACTTTGAAAATATGTTGTGTCTTTTGTGAACTGATGCTGCCTAATTATGTAATATATCAGTTCATGAGAACGAACCCACCAGTTGCAGTGACATCGATTCTGATAATGATTCATTCCAAGAGCAAAGCACACATGCTCCACTTTAAAACACTGGCGTTGTGAATGTATCATTTATTGATCCCACAATTCATGCTCCATGTTTGTCACTTGTCCACTGACTAGTATTGTAAGCTCACCTTACTTATCTCAAATCCAAACACTTCCTCAAAGTATGCAGGCTGGCTAATCAGCAGCAGGTAGAAGGTCCAGCTCCTGCAGAAGTTGGCCACGATGATTGCATAGACAGGCATAGAGGTGAAGAACTTTTTCCAGGGAGTCTTGTATTTCTGGAATAAATGACCGCAAAGATTTAATTTTATACACAAATATACATGGTGTGTTTAATAGTGTCTCTGACAAAAGACTTGTTGATGAAACTGCAGCCTTTGCAACACAAATGACTGAAAACAAAGATATCGAGCTGAGTAAATTATATTTATTGTCTTATCTGGAGGGTATCCCCTCACCTCGGAAGGACCCATTAGCTTGGCACTCTCTCCAATGCTTTCCTCAATGTAGCAGCGTTCCTCATCAGTGATGGTAGGATGTTCAGCAGGGCTCTCATAAGACACAAGGATCCAGAACATATACCAGAAGATGCCGACGCATCCTGCATATCACAGACAGATTACATGTCAGAACTTTAGATGAGTACAGATGAAATACTGCAGCTAATTTTGACCCCAGCAGCGAGTGCACAAAGAGTGTTTGGCAGCCTGATCTTTCCAAAATGCCTGAGAGAATAAAACCCAGACAGGAAAGCTAACTGTATTCAGTCCAGAGAGAGAGAGATGGGGGGTTATTTATTGACACACCCAAACATCGGAGGGAGGAAATCAATACACAGTCTGCCTGGATAAATCCATTTGACTTTCACTGGACTCTGAGTGTCAAACAAAAGGTTTCTACCAAGCTTAAAAACACTTTAGCCAACCATTTTTCAACATGTACTATCTCACCACAGAATCATACCTTATCTCCCATTCCTACTGTACAACAACACACACACATATACAACATGTAAGCCCTCATCAATCAATCTTACCATACACGTAGAAGACTGAGGACCAGCCTGAGTACTGAACCAAGATCCCAGCCAGAGGCATCGCTATCACAGCACCAGCGTAAGAGCCTGACAGGCAGCGAGACAGGGGAGTTAAAGCTCAGACTTCTTTACAACATTATATGCAACACATCAATTCTCAATTTATAAATGCCAATAGGAGAAAATGAGAAATTTACCACAGAATGAGATTGTAGCCAGACGACTCCTTTCCAGCGGAGGAGCCCACTTACTCCAGATGCCATGACAGGCTGGGTAGGTCACTCCCTACACACACCACACAGCATGATGAAAAAAAACAGTTAGCAGGAACTCCATGTTCTTTAGTCACCTATTGCACTCAGTGGATATATAGTATATATGTGAAAATGCATAATGAGGTTGTTGATGCCCCAATCTCGGCCAAGTTTTGGCATCCCAGGAGCCAGTGGGAGATTAGTTCCCTCAAACACAATGATTTAAATCCGATATCAATAAATATCGATGTGTTGAAATAAATATATAGGTATGTACAATGACCAGATTATAGGCCGTGTGCAGTGTGTGTTTGCATTTATTTTAGCTGGATCCAGTACAGTGTCGTTCCAGTGAATAATCAGCATGTAAATAAAAACAAAACCCATTTTACACATCCATTTCAAACATTATAAAGCCATTATAATGCTTCACATTCACATTGTTATTCCTGGGGGTTTAGGATGTACCAACAATCTATGAGGATATCTCTTTTGGATATGAACATGAACCAACAGATATCTGATATAATATTAACAAGAATTAACATTTTCACCCCTGTAATTACCATGAACAAATTGCACAGAGTCATGAGCAAAGAGGACTTGATGAGCTGTTCATGGAGCAAAGCAGCCCTGCAGCTATTAAATGTTCATCAGCAGCTAATTTGAACAAACTGTGTTGACGTAAAATACCATCTGCAATGGACTTTCTTAGGAGAGCAGTGCGGTGCCTCCAGTTTTTAAGGGATGAAATATTAGATTGATTCCATTCATTCTCCACCAAAATTATTATTTAATCTTCAATAAAGATGCGTGGCAACATGTAATATGATGCTGGGCTACTGATAAAAGAAATATCTACCATCACGACGAGTGTTTGACACCATTTGTCCAAAAGAACTAAAATAACATGGAGAACCCTGATCATTCCCTGTGATCTGCTACACGTATAAACAATGCCCACAAACAACTGTATCCTTACATTTCATTATGTCTTTTAAAAATGTACATAGTAAGAACTGTAGTATCAGCTTTCTGTATTTATCATTCAACAATCAACAGACCAATTTCCTCAACATGCCAAGATTTACTAGAATGGGAACCAGACAAATATGCAAGCTTATACAATGCCAGGCCTAAAAAAAAAAAAACTACTGTGCAGCAAGCAGATATCTGTGTCGTGTTTCACTATGAAGCTTTCGCCTATCAGCATTTTCCTTTTCATCCATCTGTTTGCCAACACTCTGCTGTTGTGTTTCCAGGATACAAAGTGTGACAGCAACAAAATAAAAAAAAGGAGCTGGACTATCCCACAAACACTCAGCTGTAGTGGACTGGATCAATACAACTCATCTCACATTTCCTCTACAGTCTTTCCTTTGCTTTCTCGTGGAGGAGAATTTGCCGGAAGCCCCATTGTATAGTGTATTATTGCAAATCCCCAGTTATTGATAGCCATAATAACATAAACAGACATATGTAACATTTATGTTATATTAATAGTGAGACTACATTCAGTGCATCAGACACACTACAAGAAAGATGTATTTATTTTTAAATTTCATTTCGTTTTCTTACCTCCACCAGCCCTTGTAATATCCTCACAAAAATGACACACCCATAATGGACTCGGGCAGCCGAGGGAATGAACATGTTGAGAGTCGAGGTCAGGACAATGGCTGCACCAAATACCCTGAAAATGATGAGATGTATTTTTAAATAATAGCATTTTATATATAGCAGCTCCCTCATAATTATTTCATCTGAACTGAATGTGTGTCATTACATCGAGCATTGAAATATAGATAAAACATTGCTGGTCTTGGTCTTTTTTTTTTTTTAATTAGCTACACTCTGCACTAAAAATATCCATAAACCATAATGGATTTATATGTATTTTTTTTTTTACAATGAAAGGCCATTTGTAAGTCTCCCTTTGAGAAACCAGTCTCGTCGTGTATATTCAGAGCACCGGGTGAGGACACGCGTCGACGCTGTTCGAACGCCGTGTCCTCGGTTCTGATTGGCCCTGCCCCACACGCGCTGCCCTTACGTCAGTGGACTACATATTTCAAGCAGCAACGCCCAATCAACAGTCACACTGATGCGCGTGTGTCGCCTAGCAACCATTTTTCACGTCGGTACCGTTCAAGAAATATGTTGTTTTATTTGACGTTGAAATAGACGCAAATAGAGGGTTTATTGATCTTTAGTTGGGTATTATGACTCGGTTATTATCAAAATAAAGCTCACATCTTAGGTTTCCTATTTATTGTCCTTAAAGGTAAAAAAAAAAAAAAAAAGAAGGAGGAAGGAAGAATATTATGAGTTTTTTTTCTCCATCCTATTTTGACCGTGAGGGAGCAGCTGAAATGAGGCGCAGGGGGAGGACCAGCAGGCCATCCATAAACACCGGGCTATTTCTCATTTCTGTCTCGTTCTCCTGCCCCTCTCATCTGCACGCGGGGGGCAAACCCTAATCCGGTTGAGACGACTGTTGGGCACGAGACCAATTGATTCAAATACATCCTCGTGTCAATCAACAGGACGAGGATCAGACATAAACATAATAAAAACAAACATGGGTCTACATTAAAATCAGGCTACAGCAGCTGGATAACTGGCTGGTATGTGTCATAATCAATATTATTGGGGAATTGTTTGCTTTTAAATTCATAAAAGTTTATTTTCATAGCGAGCTCAGGATTTAGGCCTCTAGAGTTGAGCTATGAACGGAAGCATTTTCCTTTTATGGTGGTGTTAGCACTAAATGAAATGAGCATTTAACAGCCATGGTATATCAACAGCCAATCAATAAAACGTGCATATTAATATTATAACCCAGTGTCTGTATATTATAACCTATAGGCTTATTATGACGGGTGACGCATTGGCAGTGCTCATGTGAATTAAAGCCTTTGGCGACAAGACAGGGTCTGGTCTCCATGCCCTGAGAGAGCGACAGATTAGACCCGACTCCCCCAGGGAGCTCATTAACAGGTGGCAGAAAGCCCTGACACCGGGAGCTGCAGGCCTGCCAGCCCGGTGGCCTCCCTGCAGCTCTGCATCACTTCAGAGCAGAAGACTGTCTGCTGCCTTTATACTGATACTCAGCCTGGAACTGTGAATTCATCCGGTTCATAATTCAGACAAGAATTTTATGTCTGGCTTGCCTTGGCTGTGTTTGATGTATTTATTTTTTGGCTTTTGGCTTTATTTATTTCCAGTCCCCATGTGCTCGTTTTCGTTTCCTGCCTATTCAAAAAAATAAATAAATACCAAAGAAAGAAAACAATAAAGAAAGGAAGTGAGAGGAAGGGACGCCAACTGTTCAGTCATTTTGTTTTCATAGGCCAAATATAGTAATAAATAAATCATAATGCTTCGTCTGCCAGATTAACGTGGCTGGGTTGTATTTATGGTGAGTGCCGCCTACCTGTTTGCTGCCAGCCTGGAGGATATGTATCCTCCCGGGATTTGTGTCACGATGTAGCCCCAGAAAAAAGATCCGTGAATTAGTCCCACCGTCTCTGGATCCCAGTTGAATTTGGCTTTCTGGTGGATAACATAAAAAACAAAAGCAGTCAAAAACAAAAGAGGAAACACTGACCTGACTTTTATTATTCACCTCTGCTGGAGGATACTACATTTTTAGGCAATAATTCAAGAAACAAACAAAAAACATTTATTCATTAATTCCCTGAATGGATTAATCCAAAGCCAGGCCTCTTTATTAAAGGTGGGGGGTAATAGCCTTTATTTCGATCAGATGACAGTGATATAGTCACAAGAATCAAAGGAGAGCTACTAAGAACCTGATGTTTAAACTTAAATAGCTGAGCTGTTGGATGCAGCTTATCCTATTATTTGGTTAATATTTGGCCTAAACGCAGAAACAAAGATATATAGGCTACATACATTTTACCTAAATATATATATATAGTAAATGCTATGTTATTGTGAATTCACATATTGAGACATATTTTTAAAGATGTTTGACTTTGCACATATTTGTCCTTTATGCAAGGAGCATACGCTGTCTAGGAAATGGGTGTTTTAAAATAACATTAGCGGTAATTGTTGTGATAAAGGTAATACACAGGCTTAATAGAAATGCATTTAGTCTTTTTTTTTTTAATCGCACCATATCATCCAAACAGTAGGCTATAGTATAAAAGCTACCTGACATAAAACAGCATCATGTCTATGGCGCATTTATGTTTTATGCATGTTTTATGCAAATATTAGGATTTCTCACCCTAAAAATATCCACTTAAATATGAATAAGCTCATCAGACCGCATTTTTGCGACCATTTAGGGTTTGGGAATTAATTTCATGGCCTAATACAACAGTAGGCCTTACACAGTGTGTATCTCGTGTGGAATAATTAATGTCCCTCCCTCTTCCTGTCTCTTTCTTGCTATAATAATAACCAGGTGTCTCGAGGCATGCGTGCAAGCCTTTACGTGTTTTTTTTTTTTTTTTTTACGTCAGGGGAGCTTGGTGCCGTTGCCACACCTCTTTGATGATGATCTTGCCGTTCTGGTGGATGGTGCTGTTGTTGACCATGCCCACGATGGCCACGCCCAGGTTACACCGGATACCGAAGGAGATGCAGAAGCCCAGGCCGCTCAGGATGGCGATGACGTACCGGCGGGGCAGACCGCAGCACTTGCAGTCGCACAGCGGGGGTTTCTTCTCCGCGGCCTCCCGGGGCCGCCCATCCTCCGTTAACTCGATCACCTCCCCGGTTTTCTGCCTCCTCTCCATCACCCTGCAACAGCCAGGTGAGGACAGTGTCTAGCAAAAGTCCCCCTAATAACATGTCACATGAGATGATGCTCCTAAAAAACATAAATCCCTCCTATAATGGAAACTATTTCTAAGAAGGCCCGTTTTTATTTGTATTTTTCTTAGAAATGTTCATTATGGACTGGACACTTGGTAGCTTGGGGAGGTTTTGTGTGCCTATATCTGAGATTTCATTTCAGTCAAGAAAAATGCAGGAGGCAAGTCTCGCAGAATCAGCACAATGAACCAGCTGTAGGAGAGCTGAGGCCTCCATACTGTAGTCTCTGTCTGCCACATCTATGAGGCACAAGTCAGACGACTTCAAATCATTAAATAAGTGTATCTGTCATATACAATATGATAAGAAAAAAATAAAAAACAAAAACAAACTTCGCCTGTGGAGCTGGAAACAGGCGATCATGTCCCTGACTGTACCGCATTGCAGCAGCCCGCTCACTTTCACACTCATTAGCATTCACGGGACTGAGCAGCAGCTCCAGCCTCCAGACACATGTCTGCGGGTATTCCTCGAACTCTTTATTTATTTTATTTTTTCCATCCAGGAAAGTCACATTTACTCGCGACACGCTGTTTGTCCAAATTCAGGATGCAAAAAAATCATAAAGATCGAAACAATTAAATCCCAGTGTCTGCAGATGGATGAACAGCAACTGGGCTAATTAAGTGTGATAGGAAATAAACGAATTAAATAGCAATGGATGTGTGGCTTGCAGTGAAATCAAAGGCCTGCCTTTGATAGGGTACGCCTCAGAAAATACAGAACTGCGGTTTTTTTTTTTCTGAAAACCTCACTGAAACCAAACTTCAGCTCATCGTCAGTAAATTTGCATTCGTTTTTACCAGATTTATCCTTTAGATTTGAAGGATTTTTAGGCCAAAAAGATGAGAAAGATAAATTCACAAGAGAATAATCTGAATATAGCTTTATTGTCTTTATTGTCTTATAAGTCTTTATTGCATCTATTCAATTACAGATGCAGAAACTAACCAGATGTCTTAAAGAAATCCTTAATATTGATCGGTTGAAAAAGTGATGGTTTTAAAGGCACGTTCATCATTACGCGTACGCCACTATTTGTTTTTTTTTTTTTTTTTTTAAAGATGTGGTGTTGTGATGAAGCGTGCACACACCAACGTCAGTTCCATCCTGACTATAGGGCCTGCAGTGAATCTAGTTAGTAACATTATGCACGACGTGCAGCCACGCGGGGCTGCTTGGCTTTCATTCATAATTTTGAAATGCAGTTTTTTCACGTT